CAGACAATGGTCGGGGATGGGGGATGCTGGTGGACAATAGCAACAGGGCCCTGCTAGCTCTAAGAGTTCTCCTAATTACACAGGCCACTCAGGCTGGGCTTTTTGCCGAGCACGCAGGCACCACTGCTATGAAGGCTGGTATCTCAGCGGGGAACACTGAGATCGTAAAAGGCAAATAATTCCCGAAGACTCTGAAATAAGGACAAGATTCTGTCTCATCACCTTGGGCATCCTAGCCCTCCCGGGAGGCAGGCAAGCCTGTGCTCGCAGACCTTGCTCACAGGCTGGGACAGAACGAAGTCAGCCTCACCTCCATCATCATCCCAACCTCCTTCCTCCTTACTTCATTTGATCCTCAAGATGGCCCCATGGAGAACGTGAGGCAGAGGTGGTCCTCCCCATCTCACAGATGAGGAAACTGACACTCAGGGTGGGGGGGGACTTGCTATTAAGTTGAAAACACACAACTGAGATCTTCTGAGTCCAAGCTTGGTACACTTGGTTCCTGCCATGCACTGCCTCTCCCGGGGGGCGGGCATGGGGGGAGCAGGGATGTTGGGGGGGCCTTGAGAGGAGGCATGAATGGGGCAGATCTCCCATTCTTGGCTCCATTATAGTACTAATCACAGAGCTCCCAGATGCCAGGCACTCTGCCGGATGCTCCTCTCTTCCCTTGCCTCAGTAAGTCTTCACTGACACCCAGTAAATAAATGTTCTTCACCTCATTCTACACATGAAGAAATTAAGGTTCAAAGCTCAACAGACAGACAGATGTCCAAGGACACACAGCTAGCAAGTGGCCAGAATTCACCAGCAGTCAGTCTGACTCAAAGCCCAGACTCTTCCTGCCACACTACATTGCCTTTGTGCGTCCGTTCTCCCCCTGCACAGGAACTGACACCGTTTCATGTGTATGCCGCGCCCACAGCAGGCTCTAGTTAAACGTTCGTTCATGGAATGATTATTCCCAAGGCTAAAGCACCAAAAGGAATGAAGAAGGCTATTTCATACAGACAGAAATTATAATCCAACCAGAACATAGAATGGTCATGAACCTTTATGCTCATAACAACATAGCTTCAGAGTATATAAAGCAAAACTGATTCAAAAAAAAAAAAGGAAAAAATACTAAACCCACAATCAAAGTAGATTTTATACACCTCTATCAGAAATGAATAGAATAGGGGCACCTACTGGCTCAGTCGGTAGAGCATGTGACTCTTGATCTTGAGGTTGTGAGTTCTGGCCCCATGTTGGGTATATGGATTACTTTTAAAAAAAGGAGAAGAAATGAACAGAATAAGTAAACCAGCAGTTCTTAAACTTTCTGGTCTCAGGAACCCCTTACACTCTTAAAAATGATCGAGGTTTTTAGATTAAAGACCTTCCGTTTATGTGCTTTTATACCTACCAATATTTACCATGTTTAAAACTAAAACTGAGAGAAATTTTATTTATTAATTCACTTAAAGTAACAAAAATAAACCCATTATATGTGAAGATAAATAACAAATTCTGTGAAAAATAATTACATTTCACAAAACAAAACAAAAAAATAAAGAGTGGCATTGTCTTAATTTTTGCAAATCTCTTTCACATCTGGTTTAATAGACTGAGATTTTCATACTTCCTTCTGCACTCAATCTGTTGTTACATGTTGTTTTGGTCGCAGTATATGAAGAAAATTTGGCCTCACACAGAAATGTAGCAGCAAAAGAGAATATTTTAACAGCCTTTTCAGACACTGTAGATATTCTTCTTTGATACTACTAAAATATTGCCATGTGGCTGTTCCTTAAATGTTGATTGTAATGTAGAACCTGAATCCGTAGCCATAAACTTTTCTTACTCTGTTACCTTAAGATCCATTGATCTATCTTGTACTTAGAGTGAATCCTTGAATTGCACACAATTTTGACCTTGTAGACTCCCTGAAAAGGATTTGGGGACCCTCAGGAGAACCCTGACCACACTTAGAGAGTCACTAAAGCAGGCAATAAAAAGGCAGAAAAATGTAGGATTTGATAACATAATTACCAAGGTTGATCTAAGAGGTATCTATGTAGAATTTTGCTCACAACAAACCACAAATACACATTTATTTATTTAGTTATTTAGTTATTTATTTATTTATTTTAACAAACGGTCCTTTCCATGAGCTGGGGGCAATGTGCACCTGGACAGACCACAGAAGCTCCAGGATGGACAGATGCCCAGCTTGCCAGGTGTTCCACACAGCGGCCTAGGTCCTGGAACAGCCTCATCGGGAAGAGGCAGCACACCAGTGCAGCCTCCTCCCTGCTCGCTCGGGCCACAGAGCCAAGGTTACCCACAGACTCGGCCTCAGCAGAAGATCTTCCTGAATGACTGCCCCATGGCACAGCCCCCACCTGGGCTGCATTCCTGGGAAGGCCTTCCTTCCTTAATCTCACCATGTCAGGGAGCCTTGGGGGGTCCCCAAGGCAGAGTTGTCAGGTATAGACGGCCTATCATCTTCCAGGTGGCTCCCAGCCTGGCGCCTCTGCCCTTAGCAGCCCCTGGAGCTGCCAGGTATGACTCACCTGGCTCTTCCCGCGTGTGGTTCTTACAGAACCAGCAGCAGGAACAATGCCTCCTGCTGTCCAGGCCAGGCACTGGGCCTCCAAGACCAGCAGAGGGTGACCAGCTGCCTAGGGAGCCAGCACCTTGCACATCACCAGGGGAGCGCCAACACCCCTGCCAGTGCCCAAGACCACATGTCCCCCCGGGGGTGCAGAAGCCCTGCCAAGCCTGAAGCAGGGATAAGGATCAGCTGGAGCACAGGGAACAGAATTACTGCTCAGGGTCCCAAACCAGAGCCAGGGCCAAGGTATCCAAAGGAGCCTGCAGAACACACATCACATTTTCACCCTGATGGCATACATCCCTTAGAGATCTTCCATTCCTAGGTGCCTATTATGTGCTGGCACTGTGCAGGGGGCTTTCTTTCCATGAACCATTTGGTTTGCCCCTCACAGTAACTGTTGAGAGTGTTCCACTTTACAAACAAGACAATGGATGGCTGGAATGGCTAAGTACTTGCCTAAGGTCACTCAGTGAGTATGCACTTAGCCTTCAACCTGGCTCTTTTTGCCTGCAAAGTCGAGGCTCTTGCACCATTACTACACTCCGCTGCCTAGGCCGACAGGGAGGGGTCCTTTACCTTCTGGCGGGTCATCCACAGAACCTCTTTGTGCTCTTTCGCCTGAACCCACCCTGGGCTCTGTCTGCTGAATGTCCTTCTGTGCCCTCTGCCCTGCCTTTTGTCTTTTTCTCACACTAGATCAGATGAAGCAGGGACTATGTCTTCTGCATTTCTGGATCCCTACCTGTGGTGTGTACACCACACCCCACACCTTGTACACAGTAGGTGCTTCGTGTGTGTCTGCTGAATATTAAGAAGAGTGGCCCCTCCCCTCTCTCCACTACTACTGCAAGGACAGATCATGGGAAGACAGGAGCGTTGGAAATTTTCAGGAGGATAGGGGGTAGGAGAGGTAAGAGGAGAAGTGGAGGGGGTCAAGTGCAGATCCAGCCCCCAGAGTGCCCCAAGCCCTCCTGCAAGACACCTTCCCAGCGGACCTCCCCACCAAAGACTGGGGAGGTCAGGTCTCAGGTCAGGCTCTCAAGAAGTTCTCCCACCCTCAAGCATTTCTCCAAAGCTCCTCCCACAGGAAAGCCAATAGAAGGCAGGACCCAGACAGAAGAAAAAGACCCCAAACATGGGGTCCCATCCCAAACCTGGATATTCTCAATTCCTTCCTCCTCCTGCAGCCTGTCCTGGTCTAGGCTGGAATTTATCTTAGGGCAAAGTAGTTAAGCCCTGGCCTTTGGAGCCCAGACCTGGATTCAAATCCTGGCTCCCTCACCCATTAGTGTGTGACTGAGGGCCAGTTACTTCACCTGAAGGCCCCCAAAGCCAGCCAGCCTGCAGACTCAGAATCCAGACCTCCTGGTGTCACCCGGGTTCTGACTCTGGAACCAGACCACCAAGGGTCAAGTCCTGGCCCCTATCCTCACTTAACTTCTCTTTGCCTGGCTACCTTTATCTGTAAAGTGAAGATAATAACAGTACCCACTCGCCTTATTATACCATTACTGTGAGAATTAAATGGGGTAACTTATGCAATGTGCTTAGAACAGACACAGTAAGTACCCAAGAAGTATTAGCTATCAATAGAAATAGCTGGTGATAAGGCCGTGAAGTGCTGCGCAGTGTCTACGGCACTTAGAGCTCACTGAATGGCAGTTATGATTACCTTCGCCCCCACTAGGCTACGGTGTCCCTGGAGGTGGGGGGTCCTGGGTCAGATCCATCTCTGATTCCCCCAGCAGCCAGCAGCACAGTGCCGGGCACCAGGCAGGAGCTCAAACACATGCTTGAGGACCGACAGGTGAAGAACTGCCCTTCTGGAACAGAGGGTGTGGGCAGCCAGGAGCCTCCTGCCAGGAGAAGGGAGAACCGAGGTGTCAGGAAAGAGAAAGCAGAGCGGAGGGGGAAAGGCCGAGACGGGCAGATAAGCAAGTGAAGTGAGTGAGAAAAGGAACAGGAGAGGCTGTGGCGGAGGGAGATAAGGAGGAAGGATGGAGAAAGCGATCGGCGAGGAAATGCCCAGGGAGGTGAGGGAGCCCCCAGGAGAGGCGCAAGGCGAGCCCGGCGCTGAGGCAGGGGAGCCGGGGCACGGGAGAGGGGCGCACAAGCCGGGGCGGGACGCGCGGGAGCCGGCGGGAGGGGCCGAGGGGGGCTCCACCTCGCCTCCCGGCCTGGGCCCGCGGGCGGGGGGGCGGGCGACTGGAGATTGGCTGGGGCGCACGGCGAGGCTGGGGCCGGAGCCCCGAAGTGGGAGGTGCCAGGATCACTCGGTGCGCCCGCAAGCGGAGCGAAGGCTGCCACCACTCGGGCCACCTCGGCGGTGGCGGCGGCTGCAGGGGAGCGGCAGGGCGGCGGGCGCACTCCAGGGCAGCTGGGGACGCCGCGCACCATGCAGGCGACGGCGGGGGGCGCGCGGGCGGCCGCGCTGGCGCTGCTGCTGGGGGCGCTGCAAGGGGCGCCGGCGCGCGCCCAGGAGTACGACTACTACGGGTGGCAGGCGGAGCCGCTGCACGGGCGCGCGTACTCCAAGCCGCCGCAGTGCCTCGACATCCCCGCGGACCTGCCGCTCTGCCACACGGTGGGCTACAAGCGCATGCGGCTGCCCAACCTGCTGGAGCACGAGAGCCTGGCCGAGGTGAAGCAGCAGGCGAGCAGCTGGCTGCCGCTGCTGGCCAAGCGCTGCCACTCCGACACGCAGGTCTTCCTCTGCTCTCTCTTCGCGCCCGTCTGCCTCGACCGGCCCATCTACCCGTGCCGCTCGCTGTGCGAGGCCGTGCGCGCCGGCTGCGCGCCGCTCATGGAGGCCTACGGCTTCCCCTGGCCCGAGATGCTGCACTGCCACAAGTTCCCCCTGGACAACGACCTCTGCATCACTATGCAGTTCGGACACCTGCCTGCCACCGCGCCTCCAGGTAGCGCCGCCGCCGCCCCCGCGCGCTCCGACGCCCCGGGTGCCCGCGAGGCCCCCGGAGGTGCCACCCCCTTACACACACACACACACCGCACACAGCCTTTGCTCAGCCCTGCATGCCCCGGGAATTGCAACTCCCACCCTCCTCCACCCTAGCCTACCTATACACACACACACCATTTTCTGTACCTGGGAACCCTAAATTCTCCCACTGGCTTCCCCAATCCCCCCAGACTGGGAGACCTTCGGGTAAAGCTCAGTGCAGAAGAAAGAGCAGATTGCCAGGCTCTGCCACTGAAAAGGAGCCCTTAGGAGTTGCTTAACTTTGAGCCTCAGTTTTTCCATAAGTAACATAGGAAGTGAGCTCAGGTTCCAGAAACCTGTGAGATCCTCAGTGCCACCTCCCACCCACCCCGAGACCCATTACCCCTAATTCCTCCTCGGTCTCAGCCTCCCTTCACTGTGCACCCCCCACCCCCAAATGCCAAACTCCTTGCAAACAGAGTAAGCCTGAGCTGGGCACCAGACAGGAGAATAAAAAGTGGCACTGATAAAAGTTTCGTCTGGGCAGTTGATTCAAGAGTCTAAGGAGACCCTGATGCTGGGACTCCCCCAAGGGGCAGCGCTGCTTTCCCGTTTTCCCATCTGACCCGACCCCCAAAAAGCAACTGGACTCACCACACCCTACCCACCCCTCCCCCAGGTCTAACTTCATCCACACAGCCCTTGGTCCTACTCTCCTCCTGAGAGTCAGTTGGGTTGGGGTCCTGTGACTGGGGAGTGTTAAGAGACAGCCCTGTTCTTGGATTGGAAATGGGACCAGGAAGCAGGGGAGAGAGCCAGTTCAAGCAGAGACAGCGCCGTCCCTAGCAGGGATCCCAGCATGGTTCCTTTTCTGGTTTTCTTGGAAGCCACGTATTAAGAGCCTGGAAGGCAAGAAGTCCTGGGCTCCGGCTCGGAATCCCACCAGGCCCTGCCGTCTCTGAAGCCCACTTTCCCCTGTGATGGGGGCACCCACCCGGAGGCAGAGATACAGGACAGAGGGCAGGTGCTGTGTGGTGGCCTGAGAACCAGAGGCAGCCTGAAGTGTTTGTGTGGCTAACAATAAAACTGAGAGTATTTCATATAAAAATTAAGAGTCTGGGCTTCCCTTGAAAAACCAAAAGTTCTGGCAATGTGAAGCTGCCCACCTCAGACGGTGATGCTCTTCAGTTTACCACAGTCCCTACCCTGCCACCCGCGGGGACCCTGTGTGCCTAGGAAGACCCTGCAGATACCCCCATCCCGGCACTAGCCTGGGAGTCACAAATCCTGAATTCTAAGGTCAGTTCACAATAGTACTGCAGACTTGGGTACCACTCGGCCTCAGTTTTCTTTTCTTTAATAAAACCTACTTCATAGGCTGAGGATTAAATGAAACAAAGTTTAGAAGAAGACAACGCACATCATGGTAGCAGTTGCCAGGGTCATGGAGCAATTGTGCCCACGGGGGCAGTTTTGTCCCCGTGCAATGTTGTCTGTTTTGGAACCTCACAACTACTCAGTGAGCACCGTTACCATCATCCCATTTCCTGATGAGAGTGGAGGCTTGGCAGGGGGAGGTGGCTCCTCAGTGGGGTAAGCCCGTACTCTTGAGTGGCTTTTCGGACTCCGATCCCCTCATCAGCCTCCCCTCATCAGACCCCACCCCTGCTTCTCTCTTCAGTGACCAAGATCTGTGCCCAGTGTGAGATGGAGCACAGTGCCGACGGCCTCATGGAGCAGATGTGTTCCAGTGACTTCGGTGAGTGTGGAGCCCACGTGGCCACTGCCCCAATTCCTCTCCTTCTTGATACACACATACACACACACAACAAACACCCATGTCCACAACCATCATAGTGAATACTAACAGTTTTTGCATCATGGGTCCCTTTTAGAATCTGATCATGACCATGAACCGTCTGGCCAAAGAAATGCACCTCATTTTGCAGGTCATCCCAGGGGCTTCAGAAGCCCCTCAAGGCCATGGTCCATGGGCCCCAAAACCAACCCCTGGCCAAGGCTCCTGCAGCCCTCCCTCGGCACCTGCCCACAGAGGGCCCTCCAGGGCTGGATTCTCTTTGGGAGAAGCAAGCTAAGCCTGGAGATGGAAGGGAAAGAGCTGGGACCCAGGATGGGAGTGCAGCACCCTCGTCCCTGGGCACCTCTGCGTGGTACCCGATGCACCTCTGGCCAGGGGAGCTGCGGTCACTTGTCCCACGCCTTCATCCTGGAGCCTCTCCATTCCTGGGACAGTGAGCCAAGTCTAGTCAGGACCACACGAGCCGGCATGTGGCCTTTGCCAAGCTGGCTGCTGTTTTGTCTTAGCCTCCCTGTTTGTAAAAAAGAGATCGCAATGAAATCCTTACTTTAGTCTTTTATGTCATTAGTCTGTTTGGAAAGAGGATACTCCTATTGCAAGGTGTGTGTGTGTGTGTGTCCAAGAGAGAAAAAGAGAGTGGGTAAGGAGAGAAAGAGAGATTGAAAGAAAGAGATTTTATAACCATTTCCTTCCCTGGGTGAACAGAGTCATTCTCTGGCATCTCCCTGGCTGCTCACAGAGATGCAGATCCAGAGGCCTGAAGAAAGGGGAGACTAGCCTAAGTGACCCCCCCAAGTTCCAGACTCCCAATGCCCAACTGTACTAGGCTCTCTACAGCCACCTTGTGTGCCCTGGATGGTCACCCCGACCCCACTCTGGCCTTCATGCACCTCCCCCACCCTCCAGACACACCACAGACATACTCTCATATATCAACCACACAGCACCAAACAGCACACTCCCACCCATACTGTACAGTCTGACACAGATTACAGTGGTGTGTTCCCACCAGCAAGAGCTGGTTGTGTGCATGCTGCTCAACCCAGCGCTCCGTGATGCGGTGGGCCATGGGGGCGGGCGGTGGGCATTTACCCCATGGAAACCAGCACGTGCCACAGAGCAGAACCCCTCCCCAGGGCTAGCTGTCAAGCATTTACCAGCCCACCCTATCACTGCTACACACACACACACACACACACACACACACACACACACACACAGCCAGAAATCCCATTTGGATCCCATGATCCTAGGGATCATGAAGTCTACCACCCCAAGGCCCAGGCTTGGAACTTAAGGCACAGGCACCAGCTGAGGGCCCAAGAGCATCCTGAGCAGACCTGCCCGTTCTCACCCTGCCCCTCTGTCTCCCCCCTCGGCGCGCGCACACACAGTGGTTAAAATGCGCATCAAGGAGATCAAGATAGAGAATGGGGACCGGAAGCTGATTGGAGCCCAGAAAAAGAAGCAGCTACTCAAGCCAGGCCCCTTGAAGCGCAAGGACACCAAGAGGCTGGTGCTGCACATGAAGAGCGGCGCCAGCTGCCCCTGCCCACAGCTGGACAGCCTGACCGGCAGCTTCCTGCTCATGGGCCGCCAAGTGGACGGGCAGCTGCTGCTTATGGCCGTCTACCGCTGGGACAGGAAGAATAAGGAGATGAAGTTCGCAGTCAAATTCATGTTCTCCTACCCCTGCTCCCTCTACTACCCCTTCTTCTATGGGGCTGCTGAACCCCACTGAAGGGCACTCCTCCCTGCCCCACCACAGCCAGCTGTGCCTTGCCCTCTCCCCAGCCCTGGGGCACTCTCTCTTCCTGCCCACTTGGCCTCACCCCTACTCCCAGGCTGACTCAGCCCCTGCCTAAGTGGTTTCATGCAGTGTCGTTACCAGCACAGGCCCTGAGGAATGGGCATGGAGCCTGAGCTGTCCATGACTGAGGGGTTCTGGGGTCCCTGGGGACTTCTCTTAGGAGCAAGGCTTTCTCATTTGGGAAGGAACCCAGGGTTTTGGAAAGTAGGTGGAGGAGAGAGCGAGGGAAGCGTGGAGGGGCTCTGAGCAGCCTGAGGCAGATTCCCAAGTAGATCATGGTGTCAGCTCCCCTCTGTTGGTGGTGAGGCCTCACCTTGAAGAGGAAAAGTCTCAGTATTAGGCTGAGCTATTTGGGGGACAGTTCCCTACCTCCACTGCCCACTCGTGTCATCATAGTCCCCCGAAGGAGAGGCACTAGGGTCACAGTGCCCTCCAGCCACAGTTCCCCACCTCCCCCATCTCTGACCCTTTCCCTTCCTGCTAGACTGGAGAGAAGCCCAGCCCAGACCCCCTCCCAGAGGCTGCTTTTTGGGGTTCGTCCCTCAGCCTCCACATGTCCCTGTTACCCTGATGGTAAGTTATCGCCACCGCTGCAAGGCCACAGGTACTAGATCTGACGCAGGCAAGGTTTGGTTGCTAATGTTTTCTTTTGTAAGTTTTTAATTAAATCAAAAAAAAAAAAAACAACAGTTGGTTTCGACTAGGTTCTTTCTTTGTCAGCTGGTCCCCAAAGGTGGGCAGAGGGAGGTTCACAAGGGACTTCTGGAAAGAGGCCCTTGTCCTAACCCACGGCCGGTCCACACAGACATACTTGCAATGCCCGTGTTCTTGCAGGACCCCCTGAGAGCACAGGGTGAGCATCACCCTTCTCATCCCCGTCACCCAGTGAGGAATGGAGGTGACCGTCCCTTTGTTCCCGAAGAGGGAGAGAGACCCCAAGACCCCCAGCCTTCTCCCACGGTCAGAAGGCTCCCACAGTCCTGCAGCATGTCCCTGACGCTGCGTGCTCCTCAGATCCCAAGAAGCCTGGGCCACAGGGAACTCCTCTGAAGAGCCAAGGGCCTAAACGTGTCAACTCCTTCCCCTTGGGCACTTAGACCGCCCTGGGCACTGGTCCCGACCTGCAGGGGAGAATGGGGTCGACCTGTGCCACAGGGACCAGAGGAGCAGCACCCCCAGGAGCCGGTCAGAAGCACATACTAGGCCTACTGTATCAGAAACCACATTTTAACACATAAAACTTCAAATCATCTAGAGAGCTTTTGCAAAATAGGGGGCCCCACTCTACACCAATTAAATCGGAATCTCTGGAGGGGGCACAGAAATCTGAATCTCTAGATGCTCCCTGGGGTGGTATGCAGCCTGGGTTGAAAACCTCGATCTAGGGGCGCCTGGGTGGCTCAGTCGGTTAAGCAGCTAGCTGCCTTCTGCTCAGGTCTGGTCCTGGGATCGAGCCCCACATCTGGCTCTCTGCTTGGTTTAGCGGGGAGTCTGCTTCCCTCTCTCCCTCTGCCTCCCCCCCTCCACACCCTGGCTTGTGCTCTCACTCACTTTCTCCCAAATAAATAAAATCTTTAAAAAAAAAAAAAAAGAAAGAAAGAAAACCTCAATCTAGATAAGCCAACAGCTAAGGCAAGAGAAAGGTGAGGGGCTGAGGTGACCTCAGGCTGGAAGGGTCTCGGTCCTGCATACCGGGAAGGAAGCAGCTATCGTAACTGAGGGCTGCTTCAGCGAGCTCAGAGCAGATGGTGCTGCTACCTGGAGCTGAATGGGGCAGGGAGGGGAGAAGGCCTGAAATGGAGGCAACAGGCTCCTGCCACTCAAATGTCCAGCATTTGGAAGGGGTGTTGCCAGGAAGGAGACCCGGGGATTTGTCAGGGGGCTGGGGACACCCCCAGAGCAGCTTTCCTCACCAGCGAGGGTCCAGCTGCCAAGTCCAGTCAAGCATCCTGCTCCTCTAAGACAATACAGCCATGTTCTCTTGTGAGGACTTGGCTTCCAAGGCTCTCAGAGAAGCATGTTGCCACAGAGAATCGAGAAAGGCCAAAGGGCCCAAATTCTGCTGTGGGGCCAGTGTGAGCTAACAGGTGGTCTGACAGCCTGCCCATAAATCACCTCCCTGGGCAGGCAGGTGGCCTCACCACAGGTCAGGAGCAGCAGAGGCCTGCTTGTTTCTCCACAACTCTGAGGAAGCCACCGCCGCCCACCCTCACCCAAAGTCTGCCCAGCCCACCAGCTCCCTGAATCTGCCCCTTGTCTCCCAGCCTCCTACCCCAACCAAATATTTACGGACACTTCTATGGTCAACCAGGACCAGGGATTATTTTTCCACTGAACACACAGGACTCCAGCTACTTCTGGCAGAAGCACAATACTGACCTCTGTCAGGTGCTGGCAGCCAGGGAGTTGGAGCAAACGGGGGAGAGACTCCCCTCGCCCATCCCGGGAAGCCCCAGCAAGACAGTCCTCAGCCACCCCCAACACAGGGGTCAAGCTCTATATGTCGGCTCCGTCCCCAACATCTGCTGTCAGATTCCCCTCCCAGCAGTCTCTTCCTGGGACCAAGAAGAATCCTCCCCAAAACAAGGGGAGCCCCCACAAGGCCTGAGCCCGCCCTTCATTTCCTTCGGTCACAACACGCTCCCTCCCTCCCAGCCAGTCCGGAGACAGACAGCTGGTGCTGCCCAGCGAGCATCTGGGCTGTGTCAGCAAACAACTGCATCTAACAGAAACCCCAAGAAACAGTGGGGCTTCTCCATACCAGAGGTCTGGAGACAGCCAGGCACGAGGTCCAAGTCCCAGACTCATTCTTTCTTCCAGCTTTGCCAGGGGGTGGCTTCTGTTCTTGTGGTTACAAACAGTGCCCCCTCCTCCCCACTCCTAACCACAGTCCAGGCAGCAAGGCAGGGAATGAGAGCAAAAACAGCATGTCAGCTGCCTCCGGCCCTTTTAATCAGGAAAACAGTATTTTCCCAACAAAGTCCCACCTGGTAGATTTCCACTTTTAGCTCACCCACCAGAATGAAGTCACATGGCCACCCCTATTTGCAAGGGAGCAGAAGAAGTCAGGTGTTTCAGTTGGGTACAAAATCAGAGTTCTGATAAAGAACAGGAAAAATCTGGGGTGGGCGGCTAAATACTTGAGATCAGGGGGTGCCTGGGTGGCTCAGTCAGTTAAGCATCTGACTCTTCATTTCGGCTCAGGTCATGATCTCATGAGATTGAGCTCCGCATAGGGCTCCACACTCAGCTGGGAGTCTGCTTCTCTCCCTGTCTCTGCCCCTCCCCCAACTCTAAAAAATAAATAAATCTTAAAAAAAAAAAATACTCAGGATCAGGTGAAAAGAGGTAGTAGAGCCCAGTTTTGAGTTCCAATACTGTGACTTAGTGACCATGTGACACTGGGAACACTGCCCAACTATAAAATGGAATAATAATGTCTATTTCACAGGGTGGCTGAGTGTTCAGTGGGGAAATATATGAAAAGTTCCTGGAACCAGCACCCAGCATTTAGAAGATATTCATTAAATGGTAATTAGTATTTTTCCTAACCTAAGGCCTTGACCCGGATAGCACGGTGCCTTGCACATAACAGTACATTCCTAACTGATTTGTTAACTAAGAAATACTACTGGCAGGAAGGTAGGGAAGACAGGAACATCTCACCTAAAACCCAGAGTTGTTACTTTCAAGACAGAACCTACATTTGGCATTTTACTTCAGAAAATACACCCCCGGAGGGTATGTAAGCCAAGAGAGAGGAGAAGACATGTAATACTAGAATAAATATCAAGCCCATGCTGGGTGGCAGGCACTACTCCAAGCACTCTGGCTGGTATTCTTATTTTTTTCTTTTTAAAGATTTTATTTATTTATTTTACGGGGTGGGGGGTAGAGAGTGAGCAAGCACACCCATATGAGAGGGGAGGGGCAGAGGGCGAGGGAGAGAGAATCCTCAAGCAGACCCTGTGCTGAGTGTAGAGCCCGATGTGGGGCTCAATTTCACGACCCTGAGATCATGACCTGAGCTGGATACTCAACCGAGCTACCCAGGTGCCCCTCACTCTGGTATTCTAATTTAAGCCTGCCAACAGCCCCTTTTAACGATGAGGAGGCTGAGGTTCAGAGAGGTTAATGAGCTTATTGAAGGACACACAGCTTGTACGTAAGAGTGGTACTAGAATTTGACCCCGGGTTCTTAACCACCATACTACTGCCTGCATGGGGCAAAGCCAAGCGGAGGCGGGGCGGGGGGTTGGGGGGAACAGACTATCTGCCACCCTGCCTCGCTGGAAGATTTCCGGGAGCCCTGCTCAGAGCCCACACCAAGGGCCCTGTCAGCAGCAGGGGAGCCAGCCTCAGAATGCAGCTTTTCTCCTGCCCCAAAGCAGCCCACCCCTGACCCCCTCCTCCCCTCTAAGCCCCATCAGCATCCAGGCTCTTGAGCCCCACAAAGGAAGCTCACAACCCACAACTGTTTAGTCGGCTGTAATCCTGGCTAAAGTTCACTCCTTGGGAAATCCAACGTGGGGGGTGGTTGCTGCTGGAATGTATGTGGCTGGGACCCAGTACTCCAGCCCAGACAGCAGGCTCTGCTGGGGCCCTGAAGAAAGCAGGCAGCCTGGGGAATCCGGAATCCCCAACCCCCAGCTGTGCCAGAGAATGGAATGTGCTGCTCTGGGGTGTTGAAACAGACCCAAACAAGGGAGGTGGTGCTGGGGGTGGGGAGCTCCTGCCACAAGGCTGCCTCTGTTCCTCTGGAGACTGAGCCTACTTTGCTAGGGCTCGGGATGGGCAGGCCCCTATTAGCTCAGTGGCTCAGAAGATCCTGGAGCTAGTGGGGGCAAGGCAGAAGAGAGGAGAGGCCGACAGCCAGGATTGTATGTTCACCCAAAGTTTCCCTGATAAGACCTCTCCAAGCACCCCTGGCACAATTCACACCCTGGCTCCATGGCTTACTAGCTACATGACCTCGGGCAGGTTCTGTAACCTCTCCAGGCCTTCACTTTACTCATCAGTTAAATGGAGTTAATAACAGAAGCTAGCTTTTGGGATTGTCATGAGGTTTAAATAAGAATGACACGCTCAGCATGTTGCCTGGCACAGTGCTCAATAAATGTAGGCGTTGGGACGCCTGGATGGCCCAGTAGTTCAGTCAATTATGCATCTGCCTTCGGCTCAGGTTATGATCCTGGGGTCCTGGGATCGAGTCCCACATTGGGCTTCTTGCTGAGCATGAGGCCTGCTTCTCCCTCTGCCTGCAGCTCTCCCTGCTCATGCTCTTTCTCTCTGACAAATAAAAATTTTTTTAAAAAGTAATAAAATAACATCCAAGATATAAAATAAAATAAAACAAAGTAGTTGTTATCATGGTCTTAGAGCCAGCCACCAGCTATACGATAGACACTGGAGCCAGGGCCTCTCAAAAGGGGTACCTCGAAGGTTCCATGGAGACAGGGCATGAAAATGGAGCTTTCTTGGGCTTGAGCCCTGAGGGCCAGGAGATCAACGACTACAAATTCTGAAGACCCCAGAAACCAGGACCAGTTCAAAGTCTGCCAAGGCTCACCAAAGATTGCTCCCTATCCCTACCAAACCACAAAAAGATCAACAGAACCCTCAACTCAAGCCAGGCTGTGGGAGCTGGCTGCCTGTCCCAAGTCTGCCCCAATGGGTACCAGAGCTGGAGCAAAACCTGGCTACTATTCCTCCCAATGGGTGCCTGAGAGCAAACTGGGGGCATCTTTTAAACCAGGCATCCAGTTCTACTATGAAGAGTGTCCTCCAGGCCACCTCGCATTCGGTCCTCTCCACACTGTGGACCCCAGCCAGCTGCAAGACACAATCCAACCGCCGTGGCTTCATTTTCCCAGTGGGACCTGCACTTGCAAGTTGTGCCTCCCCAGCCTGCTCTCACTGAGGCCCTCACACACACTGTAAAGGGACAAGGAGGTGGCCCCCTGGCTTCCCTTCAGTGGGAAGACCCAGCCAAGACCCGATGATAAAACCCGAGTTTCCCAAGCCCCAGAATCCCATGTTCCAAAGGCTATGCGTGGTACAGACTACTTCACCAACACTACGCATCGTTTTTGTTTTCCCAAAATAATATTGCCTCTGCTTTTTCAAACTACACTTTGGCCTCAGATGCTTTCCTGAGTAATAGTCTAAGATTAGTCTCTGGTTTAAAAAAAAAACAAACAAAAAACAAACACTGTTCTAAGCCATCCAGGACAGAGCTGTCTTGTCCCTAAGAGTGCCAGGATGGCAGTAGCAGGCTGGCCTTTGGGGAGCACTTCCTGTGCTCCAGGCACCGTGCTCCATGCCTTGAGTGGATGGTCTCGCTTACTCCTCACGGCAGCCCTCTAAGGGAGACAGCGCTATCACACCCATTTTACAGAGGAAAGCAGCACAGAAAGGCCTGGGGGCAATGCCCCTGTGGCAACTCGCTCCAGCATGGCTGCGCTGACGGGAGAGGTGGGCCAAGTGTGGGGCTGGCCACAGCACTGCCTACTTCTTACTGCCCGCAGACTCTCCCTGGCTAACACAGGCCGCTCCTGCTGAGAAAGGCCTATCCTCTCATGCCGTAGGGAACACACCTCTTCAAACAGATGTGGTGTCCGTCCTGGAGTGAGGCGCCGGCCGGGATGATCTCTGAGCAGCCTTCCAAATGAGCTACCCATGACACACGCCATCCACAAAAGCACAGGCGCAGCCCCGGCTGCCTCTGCCCTGGGCCTGTGCCATCACTGCTGTTCCCCTCACCACCATCTTTACTGCTCCTCTGGACCCAGGCTGCTGAGGCCACTTTGCTACTTTTTTAAAGTGAACACAGTCTTCTGTAAAAACTGCCAGGAAAAGGTCCTGGCTGCTTCCCTGCCTCCCAAGGCCCCTCGGAGCTGCTGGGGCTCCCCCATACTAGGGGAAGTTCCCGAGCTAGGCAGAATCCCATCCTGGACCAGGCCACGGCCTCTGTGAGCTGCGCATGCATGGAGCCATGAGAACATGGCTGCAACCTAACCTCAGCTCTGACGCAGGGTCTCTCCTGCAGTCTTCACTGCCATGGGCCTCCGTCTGGAAAACACGGCTCATAGCCAGCTCTGGTCTGCAAAGTGCCATGCCAAACCTTTCACTGCTGCTGGTCAACTTCCTTTGGCCTCAATGTCCTTACCTATAAAATGGGGAGAACAGTGCCTACCTCATAGGACCATCATAAGGATTACATAAAATGACACGTGTAAAGCACTCACCACTGCGCCTGGCACCCAGTACACACCCCACAAACCCTGCTTTCAGAGAACTGCTTATCTGTCCCATCTCACAGCCAGTCCTCTTCCGGCTGCCTCTCAGCCTCCCGAGGGCCAATCCTTTTTTGCTTTCTAAGAAGGATTAGCTAAAATCTTTCCGTTCTAAAGCCTGTATTGCTTAGTGTTTGACAAGTCCTGGTCCTAACCCCAACTGCTCACAATTCGGTCACAAGATGGAGTCTCGAGTCAATCTGACAAACATGTACGGAGCCCCACCCGCACAAGGCACAGCTTTCCTCTCCACCCCCCCCCCCCCCCCCCCCCGCCGGCAGACTGCACCACCCCCCCGCAGCAGCCTCCACGCCCCCTCCAGCCCTGTCCTGCAGGCACAGCACCGGCCTGCAAACTCAGCCAGAGCTGGTGAGTCTGGCTCTCCAGCCTCAGAGAGAGGATTAGTGCAAGGACCAGGACGAAAACGTCAGAAGCTTGAGGGCCTTTTTATTGACAATTCTCCATATACACAGAGATCCTTTTCATTCCTCTCCAGTGTAAATAAAGCACAGGGTACTTAACTCTCATCTCTTAACAAAGGAGCCCTAGGCCTGCCTGGTTCCCCAGGGCCTTGCACCTCCCTGGCCTGTTGCGGGCCCCTGGCTGCCCAGCCCTAACTAGCCCCAGAAAGCTGGCCCGGGATGGCCTTGTCTCCCCATCCTGCCTCCTCGGATCCCTGCTCAGCCTCCTATGGGTCCTGGGTCCCCGCCAGCCCATGACTCCAGGGAAGCATCCTGGAAAAGGAGAAGCCCCCCGTTGTCTCCATCCCACTCCTTGTGCCACATGTTCCCAGGAACCATGCAATAAATAAATAAATACTTCAAAAAGGCAGGGTAGCTCCAGGGGAGAGAAAGGGTGCCTGAGCCCGCTCAAGGCTTAGGAAGAGACACTGGTGCCCTAAGAGTCCAGAGTGAACATAAAATTACTGAAGAGAGGATGGGGACCTCCATGGCCTTAACCCTTAAGTGAGACTGTCCTGCTGAGGAAGAGCACCAGAATCTAGGACACAGCCCGGAGAGATCCTACACTTCCCAGGCCCCCAAGGGTCAAGGGCTTCAGGACCTCTGCTCTGCTTGCCTGTCTCACACTTCATGGGACAAGGGGCCAGGGAGGGGGATCATAGCTCTGGGCCAGAGGAGGGGTGCCTGTGGCTCTGAACAGGAGGAGTAAGAGTGATCTGAATGCCTGGCATCTACCCAGGGAAGCTGTCACCAGGGTAATATGTGGGCTGAGATTCTGCAAGTCAAGGTTTCTGCAAGGTGAGCCTGATGTCCTTTGAGCTGCTAGGGCTCCCTATGTTTTGCTCCATTTAATACTAAAGGACTCTGACAGGCCCTTCTAAACACGTCGTCCTCTGGGAGAACATGGAAACTTCAACCCTGATCTAGGACTTCTGGTCTTGTTAGCTCTGGCCACATCTCTGGTGGAGAAACAATGAGATGCTGATGCCTGAAGCGACATTCAAAAAGCAGAGTTGGGTCATGCCATGCCCAAGCCCTTCTGAAGGCTCTCAGAGGCCAAGGGGCTGGCCCAGGAACCAGCAAAGGAAGAATCTCTTCTCCCAATCTCTGATCCATGGTCTCCTAGAATTGTGAGGTGTGGAGAGACACCCTGATGCTCAGAGATCCCTACAGAGACCAGGCCTAGCTCACTACTGCTCTCTAGTTTATATTCCCTGCCCAGCTCTGAGTCCACTAATTCAGCCCAGGGCAGAGGAGGGCAAACCTGCCAGACCCTCCAGGGGCTCCTCTCCCCTCTGGGTTTTGAGAACTGCCACTTACTAGCCACCCACAAGAGTGGGGAGCAGCTCCAGAACCCAGCTGGAGACAGCAAGGATAGGAAGGGGAAGCCTACCTAGCGTTCAGGCCACATTTGCCCAGCACACACCACAAGGGGCTAGGGACAGGAAAGTGAGGCCTGCTGCTGGCCCCAAGGACCGACGCCCACTTTGGACCCCAGCCCCTCTTCTCACTTGCTCAAGGTCTGGTTACACGAGGCACACACAAACACAGTCTCTCTCTGGGCTTCGGGGGCTGAAAAGGAGGAAGAACTTGGTGAGACACTTCCTCATGCCCTTTGGTTCATGGCCCCCAATACTGCAACCACCTCCCCGACTCCCAAAGCCCCACACAAGCCACCCACCACTCAGCCCACATCCTCGCTAACCCAGCTCCCTAGCCTGCCCTCAGATTCCTCTTTCCTTGGGGACTGGGGACTGCAGGAGTGACCATTACCAACAGCAGGCCTCTCCCAGGTGCTCTGCATTAGAAATTATTTTGGTACCAACAAAAGACCACTAAAAATTCTTTTTAATAAAATACCAGAAGAAAATTTTCCAACATGTTTTAACAGTGGTTATCTCTAGGTAGTAAGATTACAGGATTACTTTTTTCTTCCTCCTTTATAAAATGATCTCCAAATCTTCTAGAATAAGCATATGCTACTTGCATGACCAGAAAAAAAACAAAAAAAAAAGCCTCAATTTCTGATTACAGCACGTTATAGGCGGTGTGCAGAACATGCTCCCACTACTCGTAGAACGTGCATGTGCATACGTATGTATCTTGCACACGGTGCCCTTCCCTTGTTTATCTGTATCTTTTGTTTTGTTTACAATGAGTGTGTACAGGTTTTATAGAATGAAAGAAATTTTTCATTTTGTTAAACGCATTACCAAGTTAATGAGAAAAAGAATAAAATTCAGCACAGTGGTTTTCTCTGGGGAAGGCAGGGTGGTGCTGGGAGCCTTGGGGTGCTAATGCTCTGTTTTTTAACCTCAGTGAAGAAACCACAGATATTCACTACTAAGTCTTATAATTCAGATACATTAAATATATTCTTTTGCATGCATAAAATACTTCAGTGTTTTGTTTGTTAAAGGACAGTGGAGATGTTTCTCCAGGCCAGACAGGATCCTGAGTCCCCCTGCCTTCTCACTGACCCGGTGCTCCCTTCCCACGCTGCAGCAGCCCTTGGAGGAGGCAGGAACCAGCCAAGCCCTCCCAACGCCCTGACCCTGGGCCACCTGCACCACTCACCTGTGGCCCCCATGGAGGACTTGGGCACCTTGAAGGAACAGCACCGAGAGCAGAAGCTGTTTCCACAGTTACTGCAGCTCCGCTGCAAAGAGCCATGGTCAATATCAGATGCATCGCCCACAGCGGGAGCCCCCCACCTTCCCATCAGCTGATCTCACCCAAGGAACCTGGGACTACCATGGGAATAGGGAGGTGCCCAAGTGGGGGCAGGACAGAGCAAACACAACATCCAGTGGGAAGGCTAATGAAGGTGTGGGCACAGGGACAGCAGATCCCTGCTCACCTGAGCAAACCTCAGACCCCAGGCCCAATATGGCCAAATGACTCCCCGCTACTGCCCTGCACCTCATCCCAAGTTCCCACAAACACACCCCCAAGGAGACTTACCCTCTTCTTCAGCACTGAGAAGGTGGCCGAGCAGCCCGTACAGTTCCCTGACAAACAGAGGCAGCAGCTCAGCCTCGAGCTAGCCCAGGGCTCTGAACTCTCACCTGTTCCTGGCTCTTCTATGGGACCACTCAGGATGCCAGCCCAGCCCAGTCATGGCTGGGAGCAGTGAGCAAGGGAGCAAAGTCCAGGGCACCTGGGGGGCTCAGTTGGTTAAGCATCTGCCTTCAGCTCAGCTCATGATCCCAGGGTCCTGGGATCGAGTCCCACATAGGACTCCCTGATCAGTGGGGAGTCTGCTTCTCCCTCTACCCCTCCCCCCAGCTCATGATCTCTCATGATTTCTTGCTCTCACTCTCAAATAAAATCTCTGGGGGGGAAAAAGGGGGGAGCAAAGTCCAGATCCAGAGACAGAAGGGGACTCAAACTAATAGGGAAATTCCCAGGGCACCTGGGTGGCTCAGTCAGTTAAACATCTGCCTTAGGCTCAGGACATGATCTCAGGGTCCTGGGATCAAGCCCCACATCCAGCTCTCTGCTTAGCAGGGAGTCTGCTTCTCCCTCTCCCTCTGTGATCTCTCTTGCTTTTGCTCTCTCTCAAATAAATAAAATCTTTAAGGAAAAAAAAAAAGGAAAATTCCCATGATCCCTGAGAATCCATGTCTCCATACTATACACAGCTGCCGGTCTGTGTGCCCTCCCAGGACTCAGAGGCCCCACCGGCAGGTCCTGCCAAAACCGAAAAGCATCCAGCAGAATCTGCTCCCTGGAAATCACACCAAGCTAGGGGGGGACCTGAAAACAGGCATCCTTCAGAGAAGGCAGCTCCAATGAGCTCAGATGAAACCTGCCTGACACGACCCCTTCCTAAGTGCCTCCTTACAAATAGTCTGCCCACAGGTAATTCAGAAATGCCTAGAACCCCAGACTCCTGCTTCCTGTCATCTGAAGATAACAGGAGAGGAGCTCAGAACCAGGCACCTTCCAAGAAGATATGCAGGGCAAGGGCACAGACACTGAGTGGTGGGCAGGACGGAGCAGGGCAGAGCCGTGACAGACTCCACCTCAACCACCACACACGAGATGATCAAGTTTCCGGACCATGCTGGAGGAGTCAACAGCAGCTTAGCAAATGCAAGGGAGGAGGTGAAGGGGTGTAAGAAGAGATGAAGGACCGGGAGGGAGGGAACCAACGGTTCCTTCAGAAGCCACTATGCTCACCACCCACCCGTGCTTCCAGGAAAATTACAGACGGAAAAGGTGGACTGCAGCAAAGACACAGTCTGCTGAAGGGGGCGCATGCAGGTGAATGAAGGGAACCAAAAAGCAGAGGCAAACTGAGGCCTGAGGAGAGGAAAGGCCACACTGTGCCTGATGGCTTCACCAAGCTCCAGGAACAAAAGCAAACCCTGAAGAGAACAAAGAAGGTTCCAAGGGCTATGCCCAGGAACACAGACTATGGTCTGAGGCAGAAATCTCCATGCAAGCAGGGGCCACTGAGCCAGGGGAAAAAGCCCAGGGGTCCACGGTGGGCATGAAGGTGCTCCCGAAAGGGGCTACAGAGCCCAGCGCAGGGCTATGGGCCCAGAAGGAAGCTGAGTTGGGTCCTGAAAACACTTGAGAATGGATAATAAAGCTACTGGAGTAAATGTCTACAGCTTGGGGCCCAAAGGCATCCTGGGATCTGGCCAGAGCAATTAGCAGCTTCAGGAAGCACTGTTGGGCCTCTTGAACCACCTATGTGGCCAGGTACAGAGCCCCGGGCCTCACCTTCACACAAAGGCCCAGAGCTATATTGACAGCCACATGTGGTCTCTTCCTCTGTTCCACCAGAAATGCCTGCAGCCCTTGTTACAGGACACTCCCTGTGTTCAAGGAAAGACGGGCCTGCCCAAGATAGAGCAAGAAGCCTGAGGCCAAGGTGCGTAAGGTGAATGCCATTGCTGCCAGGTAGCTCCTGGCCTGGCAGAGGAGAGGGGAAAGCATAGCAGGTACTGCCGCCTTGATGCCAAACCAGCAATCAGGCTACTCCAAGACTTTGTCCCCCGCACTAAGAATGTGGGCAAAGCAACCCACTTCGGGGCACCCGGGTGGCTCAGGCGGTTAAGTGTCCAACTCTTGGTTTAGGCTCGGATCATGATCTCACAAGTTGTGAAATAGAGCCTCTCTCTCTCTAAGAAGTAATCTTTTTTTTTTTAAGATTTTATTTATTTAGGGCGCCTGGGTGGCTCAGTTGGTTAAGCAACTGCCTTCGGCTCAGGTCATGATCCTGGAGTCCCTGGATCAAGTCCCGCATCGGGCTCCCTGCCCAGCAGGGAGTCTGCTTCTCCCTCTGACCCTCCCCCCTCTCATGTGCTTTCTCTCTCTCTCATTCTCTCTCTCTCAAATAAATAAAATCTTAAAAAAATAAAGATTTTATTTATTTATTTGAGAGTGACAGAACATGAGTGGGGATGGGGTAGGCAGAGGGAGAGGGAGAAGCAGACTCCCCACCAAGCAGGGAGCCCAATGCAGGGCTCGATCCCAGGACCCTGAGATCATGACCTGAGCTGAAGGCAGACATTTAACCCACTGAGCCACCCAGGTGCCCCAATAAATAAATCTTTAAAAGAAAAAAAAAAAAAAAGCAACCCACTTCTACTTCTCCTTAACAAAGGGGACAAGGGGCATGGGGCAGTGGATTGGAGCCACTCAAAGACTGACACTCAGGCCCAACTCCAGGATGGAATGTCAGGGCCAAGCATCCCAGGGCAGCCATGTGGTCTAGCGAAACCAACATGTACCCAAGCACAAGCCTGGGCCTGGGAGGGCTTAGGATGCTGACACCAGCTCAAGACAGGTAGATGGAGGAGAGCAGCCCTGTTCCCTTCCAAAATCTTCTGACTCTCCCTGCCCCATCCTCAGCAAAAGGCCTGACTCACCATGTGATGATGCCACAGGAGCAGGAAAGCACCTAAGACTGCAGGGGCCCTGCCAGGGTAATGGTCAAAGAGCCTCCAGGACAGAACGGGGCCACAGAGAAGCCCCTGAGCCGCCTGTCCTCATTTGTCCCATGCATCCCCATCCTCCACGGGCAGCCGGAATGGAGTGGCCCCGAAAACTGCTCACCTCACCCTGGCCTGCAGGAGCCAGACCGAGGAGCAGAGCTGCTGTACCTGCCCTCACAGCAAGAAGCTTGAGAACATCTCAAGGAGAAGACCGCGAGCAGTCTTAAAGAACAGGAATTAAGAGAGGCTTAGAAAAAAGCAGCATTTTCTGCCCTTGCCAGCCTCATGTGAAACTCAAAGGCCTTCACCCATCCTGGCTGGGATTACCTGAGCCAAAAACCAAATACTGAAATAAGACAGACATAAAGCCAGAGGACTTCAGACACTAAGGCAAAAAGGGAGCATGTTGAGTGAGAAAAAACACGAGAACACAGGAGCCAGATCAGATGGCCTGGATTTGAGTCACAGCTCAACCATTTACTGGCTAAAGACATGGGGCAAATCACTTTTCTCACCTGAGGTTACTCACCTGCAAATGAGAACATCTAAAGGCCTTTACTTAAAATTCATACTGACAAATGAATCACACGCTAGAGCAAGAGTACTAATTCTTACATAGTGTCACTTGGGACTTCTGGAACCCAGCTGCTTCTAAGCCCCCAAGAACCGCCTGTCCCTATCACATCTACCATATGGACTAGATGAGACCGTGTACATGCAAGTGCACTGAACACAGTGCCCCAGAGAAGTCAGTGATCATCACAAATAAAGGGGAACTCGAAATGACTGGGGCATACTCACAGAGCAGAAAGAAACTGTATGTCCAGGACCTTGAATCCTGAAAAACAACTGCCCTGTGTGCTACAGGGGCAGGAAGGCAGGCCCCTGGATGCCCTGGGTCAAATGCCTCAAACGAACCCCAGGGCTTCTCCCAGGGTGCAGAGCCTAGAATTCAATCCAACCAGAACACACAGTATAGCCACCTCCTCCTCCTGGCAGCTGACTCCAAGCAGAAACAAGGCTCTTCCTCAAAACCAGCATGACTCCCAAGTCACCTGCCCTCTTCAGCCAGAACCCTATCTGGCTCAGCAACCGCTCTCCTGGTCTGAGACAGGTTTCCCACCATGCCAACAGTCAGGTCTACCCTTCTCCAAAGCTGCTTTCCTTGATCCACCCCCACCCCCTCCCAGGAAAATAAGGACTGGCCAGTCCATGAACTTGGCTGAGGAGAAGGGACCTCAGGGTTCTATCGTGTGCAGAGGAAGATACTTTTTGCTTCAACTTGTTTCAACCTGGGTAGAGAAGATCCAGACAAGCTGCTAGGCACCTGCAGGATGGACCAGGACCCCTCATGTTAACAGCACCCCTTATTAAGCACTTACTGTGACCCAGCCAGCACTGTGCTACCACTTAATAAACATCACCTCGTTAGAGACCTCGAAGAACCCTGTGAGGTAAGAACTGTTATTACTGCCCTTTTTTAGAAGGGGAAACTGAGGCCCAGAGCGGTTACATCATTTGCTCAAGGACAGCCAGCAAAGCTGGGATTTACACCAGGCAGTCAGACGCTACATCCTGTTCTCAGCCATCAGGCCACACTGCCTTCTGAGCCTCTGCCTCAGGATTACATCTCTCTACAGTCCTGAAGTGGCGTTTCTGGAACAGAGTGCCTCAACTTCCCACAAGTTAACGTTCAAGAAGGAACCCACACTCACTCCCTTGGCAGTCCCATTGTGTGTCCGCTACCTTCCCTGGGGCCCGTGAACATAGCTTTACTCCTTGCTCTCATCACAAACCAGTAGCCACAATTCCAAAACTCTGGCCCCATGGTGCCCACACCGCCCCCATTCCTCAGCCTTGGCCATACCAAAGTTGTTGGTAGGGTAGCGTTTGCGGAGCCGCTCCGTGAGCCGTGACACCTTGCTGCGCAGCACCTCGTTCTTGCTCAGGAACCCGTTGTCCTGCAGAACCAGCTCGTCTTCTGCTGGGCACGGGGCACCTTCCTCATCCTCCTGTGGGAACAGCTCCTTCCAATCCTGCCCACCTCGAAGCAGGGCTCCAGGAGCCATGTGCAGAGGTCCCCAGCACGGCCGACCCCACGAGGCACGGGGACAGCCAGCTCAGTCACCCTCCCCCTGCCCGGCCCCTGCCTGCCTCCCCAAGGCTCCTACTTACCAGCACCACCAAGTGTGTCTCCTGCCTCCCAAGGTGCGCGGGAGAAGGAGAGAAAACAGAGAGAGATGGCAAGAAGAAGGATGCCGCCGGAAGAGCCCCGGGCAAAAGGGAACACGGGAGCGCCGCTCTGAGTTGTCTGAGCACGCCACAGAGGGTGACGTTCACAGAGGCCCCAGAGAAGGAGCCCAGCGACAAATCGGCTTGAGAGAAGCTGGGTACTACGGCTTCTCAAACTGGGTGAAATAATGCATTAAAAGTTGCTCATTACTTCAATAGAAGAGAACACAAAATATCCCTCAGAATGTATTTTCAGAAAACTTTTGCTTCATTTAAGTTTTACACATTTTACAGACGTTAAGTGTGAACTAGTCCAAGATGTAAAATGTGGTCACTACTGTGGGTTAGGAACCAAAGAGCCCGAAAGCCCTGGTGTATACACTCCCTACACCCCCAGCACCAAGATGCACAATCTGCAGTCGTGTATTCAAGTCTGGGCGAAACCTTTAAGCAGTTGAAAATGCAAATGCAGACGTAGACGAGGCGGAGGCGAGAGTGAAATGGGCTAGGGTAAATCACAGGCAACGCACAAGGCCCTTTCTTATACCTCAATGTCCCCCTTTACAAAGAGACGGAGAAATGACTTCCTGCTATATGGAAATGCAACAGCACAGCTGTGACAAGGGCCACCACACTAGGACTCAGGGACCAGGGACAAGGAGGGTGGGGGCAGGGGTGGGGACTAGGTGACTTTTCTAAAGGGGACAGTCACTCCTCAGCTACACTGACCACTGCACACCCGGGGCCACCAGAGCTGCTGATTTTTCAGAGGAACTAAAAATCCAGACTTGTCATTGAAATCTCTCCATTTGTAAATGTCTTTAGGTCTTGGATGCCAAATAAAATGCTTCTGTAAACTACCAGTTTGAATCACTGTCTTAAAATCAGGAGGACTCCTTGACCTAGTCCTTGGCCTACAACCGCTTTCTCCAACTTCCCCTCCCTGCCCCCCAAAGAGACATCTTTCAGACCTCATTCTGCGTAAGAGCAGTGAGAGACCCGGGACAGTGCCTTCCCCCAAATCTGCCTCCCCCACATCCAAGGCACCAAGCCCAGAGTCTCCAGCCTAGGTGGTAAATGATCCACCCCCCAACACAGGGTGCTTCCCAGAGGCTTCCAGAGCCATCCCACCCCTGAGCATGCATGACAGATGAGTAGGTCAGTCACAGAATGGGCAGAAGTTCAGAGGCACCCTTTCATCCAGTGAGCTCTAGCTCACAAGTTCTGACTGCTCATTTGGATAAAGAGAACTGAAAAACCTAGACTTGGGATGTGAGAAACCACCTGGCTCCCAGACCACACTTCTGGCCTGATCAGTAGAGGGTGGTGGGGAAGGGCCACCCACCTCAATCGCATCTTTAAACTCCTCATCGGGCTCAGCCTCCTCGGCTTCCTCCACACTGCCAGGCGTGAGGTCCTGGGAAGAGAGACTATTACAGAAGGAGAGGGAGCGCGGCCCTGCCCTCTAAGGTAGAGGCCACCAGCTTCCTGGAGCAAACATCCAGGTTCCCTAAAACACCCATTCCTGCCCCAGAGGAGATGGCACAGATGCAAGAAGGAAGTCACACGAAGGAGGGCACTCTCTGACCTAGCAGAGACGGGGAGACGGGCCCAAGACCCCGGCTGGCCCGATGGCGGCTGCGCAGCACAGGTGCTGGAACCACAGGGCCTGGTCTGAGTCCCGGCCCCACCACCCTGGCACAAGAACTCTGTGCCTCAGCCTTCGCCGCCGCAGAAGAGAACCCTCTCATTCTCAGAAGCAACCTACACCTCACAGGGTCAGTATCTATAAAGTACTTAGAATAGCGGAGTCACCATTCAACAAAGCACACAGTAGCTGTTATCATTACAATTATTATTATTAAACATTTCAAAAAAGAGGAGACCAGGGAAGCAGCAGGAACTGTAAAGAGGCCAGGAGCTCTGTGGCATGAACAAGCTGGGAACTAGAAGGCCCCACAACCCGCCCGCAGGAGACTCTGCCCTGATGGTGCGGGGCACTCACCTCTGTGGGCGTGGGTGCAGGCGTGCAGTCCGGCAGAGCAGACTTTCCCCCAGCCTCCAGCAGTGACGGGCTCTCAAAGACGCTGTCTTTCTGCCTGGGCTTCAGCCGCCGCTGCAGACATACCCTGTACTCAGACACCACTACCCAGGGCAAGAACAGAGTGGGAGGCAGAAACAGGATGGAATGAGTGGTGCTCTGGGGGTACCCCCTTCTACAGGTGGCTGGCCTCTTCCACCAGCAGCCCACTCTCTGCTGCAAGAAAGTCACCCTCCTAACTCTGAACAGATCACCTAACCTAAGCCTCATAAGCAAAACAGAGATCCTACCCCTCCACCCCATGTGATTGTTATAGAGAGATTAAATGTAGTAAGTGCTCCACGAATTATAGCTTCTGTAACTAATTATCCAACTACAGGGAGGAAAACAAATATAGCAATCACCCAAACATATGTAGAAGCCCAGGTTTCTGTGGCTCAGGGCCTCTCCAGATTGCCTCACGGCTTTAGAAGCGAGACGGCAGATGAGAAGTCCAGGATCACAAAGAGAAGTAGCAGCTACTCCAGGTGGCTGCGTCCCAGGAGGCGGGTGGCAGCACTGGGAAAACATCCCTTCCTCATCTCCCAGAAGCCACCACATCACATAAGCAGGGATTCACCTGCCTCGGGATGGGAAAGGGACCCTGACCGTAGCAGCCTCCCCTGGATCCCCCCTGACGTCTCAGATGCAAAGCCCAGGAGCCCTCCCAGAAACTACCCTGGTGTGGTGCTGCCCCCTTGTGGAATGCAGAGCAAACGGATGATTAGCTGTAGAGACAGACAAGCGGGGGAGCCTCACCTAGCCCCCCCAGAGCCTGGGCCCCATCTCTGCCGAGCTGTCCACGGCTTACCTCGGAAGAACTCCACATTCCCCAGAAAGAGTGTGCTGTTTAAAAGGGCAAGGACCCAGCACAGGGGTAGCAGATACAGCATGCAAACCGTGCCCAGAAGAGCCCCATAGAACCTGCATTGACAGAGAGGAACCACAGCATCAGAAATTCCTGCGATTAGAAGGAAACCACTCTGGAGCACAGCCACATGGCAACGGGCACACTTAATAAACATGACATCTGCTAATCAAACAAGTGGGTGAGAGCTTACACGGTGAGTTATGTTTCTACTATTAAAATATTGTTCCCACACCTAAAAGGTGTCTAAACAAAAGCCATACATCCCAGCCCACAAGTTCACGTGCAGGTCTGCACACAAGAGCCTCAGAGGCTCTCCTCCCCTGAGCAAAGCCCTGCAGGGCAGCGGTGGGGAGGACCAGGGGCCACTCACTGCGAGGACGTGGCAGGGTTCTCCCAGCGCAGCACCCGGTAGGCAGCTTCACAGGTGCGGCACAGGCAGCTCAGGAAGGCCTCCAGCTGGATCAGGCTGTGGGCACAGGGGTGGGGGGGCCTTCCGTGAGCCGCACACCCACGGGCCTGCCAGAGCTTGGGGCCACAGAGCCTAGGACTTCACGGGCACAGCTAGCCAGGGACAGCTGGTCTCTTCGAACCCATGGGAGGGGCCGGAGAGCTCAGGAGAACCTGCGTACATTTCAGTCCCCCTTTCAGAACCCCTACAGAGATGCACAGAAGACAAATGTTCCCGCCTGGGTCTCTTCCTAGCTGTTGATGTCGGGCCAGCTGCTTAACTTTCCCAGGGCCAAGGTAAAATGAGGAGCAGGGTAGCCCCCCCTCACAGACACACTGCAGCTGCAGGATAAATGGCAGGATAGAGATCACTGTGTCTTCACCTGGGGTGTAAGGCAGACTCACTTGGAGAGTTTTTTTTAATGGATGCACCCCCAGAAACAATGAATGCATGCTGCACCCAGATCTTGGTTTCTGAAGGGCTCCATGGAGAAATGGCTGATTCCAGAGCGGGAGCAGTGCAAGCATAAGATGAATCTGAATATCATATGCACTCAGAGATGATGGGCGGCTCAGTCGGTTGCCCATCCAACCCTTGATTTTGGCTCAGGTCATGATCTTGGGGTTGTGGGATCAAGCCCCACATCAGGCTCCGTGCTCAGCAGGAAGTCTGCTTAAGATTCTCTCTCCCTCTGCCCCTCCACCCCCACCCTCCCACCCCCATGCGCGTGCGCTCACACACTAATAAATCAATCTTAAAAAAAAAATAATGGGGATATATCAAAAGAACACAGGAGCCAGTTCAAAAGAGCTCCTACTGCCAAACCTAGGACAATGAGATCAAAATAATGACAGTAATGGATTACAACCCATTAAATAAAATTAAGAATCTTGAGTTCATACTGATAAGATGGAAGAGCTCTTTCTTAGAGCAGATGCTAGCTACAATGCCAATTAGAAAATCACCTTCACAACTATCACAGTAATAAAGTGATAAAGATAAGACCCAGCAATGGTCATTTTAGAGTAGAGAAACCTTAATCAAATGATCAAAGTTAGAATCTCCCCTAATGGGACAGACTGACATCATGTACCTCGATATGATACACTGACAACAACACAATGCTTGTCATACTCCTGCAAAAATGCAATCTAATCATAAGGAGACAACCCCAAATTGAGGGAAATTCTACAAATAATAAGCTCATCCTATTTAAAAGTGTCAAGGTCATAAGAAACAAAGACTAAGGAAGTATTCCAGGTTACAGGAGACTAAGAAGTCATAAAAAACTAAGTGTAACATATGACTCGGGACTGGATTCTGGAGGAGGGAAAATTTATATAAAGACCTTGCTAATACCACTGGTAAAATCTGATTATGAACTATATATTAGATAACTGCAGGAATGCTAATGTTAGCCATGTAAAATTTTCTAATTTTGATTATACGATTATGAATATATAAGAGAACATCCTTGTTCTTAGGAAAGAAGTATCTGGGGTAAAAATGCATGATGTTTGCAACTTACTTTCAAATGGTTCAGTAAGAAAAAAAATAACATGCAAGTGAAGAGCAACAGATGAAGCCAATGTGGCAAATGTTAATAATTGTTCTAGCTGGGTAAAGGGCCTATGGGAGTTCCTCTGTATTATTCTTGCAACTCCCATTTGAGTTTAAAGTCATTAAAAAAGGGAGGGGGATACCCAGACCCCACTCCCGAAAACTGAGTCAGACGGGGGCCAGGCTCAGGCCTCCATTTGTAACTTTCTTTTGAAGCTTTGCAGATGCCATGGTTAACGTTATTCAACGGTCTTAATGTGGCTCTTCGGAAGTACCAGCTCTGTCACACTTAGGAAGCTTCTCGATAGTGTAGTGATGGTGACTAACCTTTACTGAACACTTCCTGGGTACCAGACACTCATTCAGTCTTCACAACCACCTATGAGGTAAGTCTACTATTATGCCATTTAACAGGTGAGGAACCTGAGGCACAGGGAGGCTGAGCAACCCACCCAATGCCACAGAGCAAGTAAACGGAGGGCTGGGATTTGAACCCTGGCCGCGGCTCACGTGTGCATGCGCTCGGTCAAGACCCTAAACTGTCTCTCTAGTGGAAAGAACACAAGTTGTGAAATCAGCTAGATCTGGATTCTTATCCCAGCTTGGTCACCTTTCCGCTGTGTAAGCCTTTATCTTCAACCATAAATGGAGGATAATAACAGTAGCTACCTCCCAGAGCTGTTCAAAAGATCAAAGGGAAGAACATCTGTGGTTTCCCTTGTACAACGCCTCACACAAAGCAAGCACTCAGTGTGATGGCCACTATTACTGTGACCATGTCCCACCTCCCTGGCCCCTTCCATACTCACAAGCTCTTCACCTCAGCCACAGCCTCGGGGCGAGACAGGCGAACTTTCTGGAGGTCCTCCTGCCTCACGCTGTGATACTTCCTCCGCATCAACTCAGACTCAGGCAGCCGTGGCCGGCAAACCTCCTGAAGGTAGCCCAGAAGGGCAGGCACTGAAATCATCAGGGCACCCACCGAGTACCATGCACCTATGGGATCAATAACACTGCAGGTAAATGAGGAGCAAGGACCAGGAGCCTCTGCCCACCAGATACCCACATGCTCGCCTCCTCCAGGGCTCTGTCCAAAAGGCCTTCCCTGATCACCTTGGGTGAAAGAGTATCTCCCCTGCTCACTCTCCAACCCTTTAACTCAGCTTTATTTTCTTCTCACAGAATTTACCACATGACTGATTATAGGCATAGTTGTTGTCTCCTCTACAAACATAGGCTCTTGAAGGCTGAAACTTTATCCGTTTGATTACTACTATAGCCCCAGACCCATTTTTTTTTTTTTAATATTAACAAACCTATGCTAGCACATAGTAGGTGGCTCGTGCCTGGAGTCTGGCCGCTAGGAGATCCCCGTGACTGACACTCTGACCTCTGGGCCACTGGAGCAGACTGGAAGCCTTTCCTTTGGCTTTTAGAATACCACAGACAGACCACTGTGAACTGAGAAATGGGGAGGCTGAGAGAAAATCCAAAGGATCTTCTTCCATGTAGCACGGTACCCCCAAAGCAAGCTAACAGAGCACTGGGCACAGATTAAATGCTAGTTAAATATGTCATAGGAGAAACAGAAAATGAGGTCTTATGTGAAAACCGGGTTTATTTTCAACCCACTGAATCCATATCTCTGTAGGAAATAAAGGAGACACTTGAGAAATGCAAGTTTGATAGAAGAATGAATACATGAATAAAGGACCCCACTCCTCAGAACATTCTGTCTCAGGCCTTTCACACATCTCCCCCCAGGGGTTCAGCTTTTTCTGTAGCTACCTGTCAGTTCAAACAGGAAAGGGGCTGGGTCCTGGTATATCTCGTCACAAAAGGTCCCCAGGAGACATCACTACCTAAGATCTCTAGAGCCATCCACCTGTCCACACATCTACCTCAAAGGCTTCATGCCACAGACCCCTCAGAGCTGGTGACTGCCCAGCAGCCCCCTCCAGGCTCACCTGCTGAGCCAGAGAAAATCAACATATGTGGCAAAAATCTCTTAACCATTCACCTTCCTGGCACCTTCACCCCATGTCATGCCCCCACTGACCCCAAAATCAGCTTGGAAATCAAAATGGAAAAAGGTCACACCACCAGTATTCAGTCAAGAAGGAAACTAATGATAGCTACAATACATTGGCTGCTTACTCTATGTCAGGCACCGTGCTAAATGTTATAGACAGGCTACCTCGTTCCTCACAACTACTCTCTGAGGAGAGCACTATTATTATCCTCCCTTTAGAGATGAGGAAAATTAGGCCTTAATAAACAGGTTAAAGAACATGCCACCTCAACAACCCACCCAGGATTCTAGCCCAGAGTGTGTCTCTCCAGAGCCGGTTTTCTGACATCAAGCAGACATGGAGGCCAACTCCATGGCAAGACAAGCGGCCACTTCTGGGAATTCCTTCCCACATCCATTCACAAAAACCCCCCGCCCCTGGAATCAGTTCTTACCCTCATTCAAAGTGAGGAACAAGATGTTGAGGCCCAGGCAGGTCAGCAAGGAACACAAAGGCATCTGCCACCTACAACACAAGAAAGTCCTGGTCACTAAAGATGGCCACTCCTCCAGTTGGGGTTGGGGGAGGAGACAACCATCACAGGTGGATCATCAAAACCAGGACCAAGAGGAGGGGGCCTGGAGTTCAGAGGGTCAAGGAGAAATGAAAAGTGGGCCTCTTACATAGGCAACTGGGAGAGGAGTTAAGGTCACACATTAGGCCCCGGGATAAGAAAAGGTATCCTCTCAGAACTAGACCTGTGGAACTTTCTCCCAGAAGGAGAAGAATTTATAAAATATCTGTTAAGAAACCCAGTTAATACTGTTTAACCATGTTTTGTAAGGTTCTGGTCTCTTTAAGAGGTAACAATGACGAATTTTCTTCTTTAAAATTTTCCCTTATTCTTTTTTACAATTTCACAGGAACATATACTCACTATGCAAGATTCATCTAATACAGAAATCAAGAGAACAAAACGTGAAGGATTTCTATGACCGCATTTGTGACTTTCTCTGATTTCTGAAATTTTGAGACTTTAACATATGTTAATCCAAAAGGAGAAAAAATAATGAAGATTTTGTTTTAATATATCAAAAAAGAAACTAAAACCGGGGTATAGCATTCTTTCAGCAGACATGCCCTAAGTGAACTGGAACAGCCGGAAGCACATGCAGACCCAGCCCCCCCCCCACCACCACCAAATAGCAGCGCAGAGGGCCCCAAAGAGGAAAGAAAGAAGACCAGAGACTTGAGTTGCTGAGGACAATCAAATTCTGCTGGCTTCGTCCCTGATAAAGGACATTTAATAGGGGAAAAGGAGCACAGATGTAACAATGAAGGCATGGACGCCTATAGTCTAAACAGCAGTGTAGGGGCGCCTGGGTGGCTCAGTCATTAAGCGTCTACCTTCAGCTCAGGTCATGATCCCAGAGTCCTAGGATCGAGCCCCGCATCAGGCTCCCTGCTCAGTGGGAAGCCTGCTTCTCCCTCTCCCACTCCCCCTGCTTGTGTTCCCTCTCTTGCTGTCTCTCGCTCTGTAAAATAAATAAAATCTTTAAAATTAAATAAATAAAAAACTTAACAGAATATAGCATCTATAAGGTCAGTCAACTGAGGGAGAGTCAAAGAGAAAAACAGGCAAGCTGCTGGCAAGCAATGTATTCGGAACCTAATGTATTTTAAGATTTTATTTTATTACTTACTTGATAGAGACACAGCAAGAGAGGGAACACAAGCAGGGGGAGTGGGAGAGGGAGAAGCAGGCTTCCCGCTGAGCGGGGAGCCCAATGTGGGGCTCAATCCCAGGACCCTGGGATCATGACCTGAGCCAAAGGCAGATGCCCAAAAATGAGCCACCCAGGTACCCCCAATGTATTTTCTTGTGCTGTGATTGAGGTATTTCAGTTGCTAAATGAAGTTCACTAAATTATGTGCTTTTATTCTTTTGTGGGGAAAGGGGGGGTAGTGGAAGGGCAGAGGGAGAGGGAAAGGGAGAATCTCAAGCAGATGCCCCGCTGAGCACAGAGCCAACACAGGGCTTGATCTCACAACTCTGAGATCATGACCTGAGCTGAAATCAAGAGTCAGACACTTAACCGACTGAGCCATCCAGGTGCCCCTGCTTCTATTTTTTCATGAAAGTTATGAGTAAGGGAATGAAATGACCTGTCTGCTTTTCTCTGAAAACCCAGCATTCCCCACTGTGCCACCCTAATTAGGCCGCAGAACCAGCTAGTGGCAGCTACAAGCGTAAGAGCAAATTAAAAGTCTGGTCTAAGGACAATCCCACTTCAGAAATAAAAACATCATACAGCCACTGAAGTCACTTTCACTGTAAAACCTCCCCATTCTTTCTCATATCTTTACTGACACTTCAGTCATAGAAATCCACCTACTAAGGTAGCTGATCCCAGAAGAGAGGTGTCTTTTAAAAATCTAATGCACCTCTAGGCTTCAGACCTAACAGACAAAGCTCAAGATTAGGTCCCTCTTGAAAGTCAAATCCTCTTTACTAAGAAAAGAACAATCAAAAGCACAAACTAATCTGACAGCCATTTTCACAGACCAGTGCTCTGTCTCCCAGTGGCACAGAACCACAAGCTCCTGGGAGCTCTTTAGGCCAAATGCTGCTCCCCCTCCATCCAGTTTTAGTCAATCCCACCACATCCTCAGATTTCTAATTTCATAAAATGGAAAAACCCTAACATATGAGTGCCAAGAAACACTAAGAGACCAGTGGTGGAAAAGGTGAAAGGCAGGCTACATTTAACTTTTGTGCTTTGCCACAAAAGGGTAAAACACACAAACATATTCACACACCTGCATGTGTGCACAGCAGAAAACCCGAAGACTAAAATTCATTTCAGCTGGATGGTCATGGTGGGATTATAAAACAAGTCCCTCATACCATCATCTCCCCTAACCCTTGCACCAAGGGGACAGTGATCTAATGATAAGAACATTGCTATGGAATACAAACCCACTCACTTCTAGGGCTAATGCCATAAATTAAAGGGGTTCTGAGGTGAACAAGAAAAATTTAAGGCCTTGTTCAGGGAGTAAAAAATAAACCTCCCACTATTTCCAGACTGAGGTAAGAATGAATATTCAATAGCACTCTTAGAGGTTAACCCAACTCCACTTACCCTGCCTCCTGCCTCTCTCAGAGGACTGGAAAGTTTTATGGGAATCTGATGAAAACTAGAAGCTTCCCCCTTAGAAATACACATGCGTGTACATACAAAGGTTTACGTGTAGTTTCAAGAGGTTCAGTGAGCCCTAAAGCCCCACTCACAAGCTCCAGGTTATGAATGTCTGCTCTGTAGGACAACCAGGTTTTACGTGGCTCCCAATATTAGGAACACATGACCTTTGTGGGGGGAGGGAGTTTCACTTGAATTTGATCCAACCTTTAAATCTAATTTCCAATTTGCACCATGAGGAAGCAACCAGACAAATCTAAGTAGGAAATTCTCCAGGACTGTCAGCTCCGTCTCCAGCAAGTCAGTATCATGAAAAAGAAACTATTTTAGATTGAGAAGACTCAAGGGACGTTATAACCAAATAAAATGCACAGTCCTGGATTGCAATCTGATTTGACCAAAACATGACATTCTTGGGACAACTGGGGAAATCTGAATATGAACTGGGTATAAGATGATATCAAGAAATTATTAACTTTGTTAGGTGTGATGTTGCTTTTTCTCATTAAAAAAAAGTCCTTATTATTTAGAAATAAACTGAAGTATTTAGGGAGTGAATAGCATATATCTGTCCTTAAAATTCTTTAAGATAAGAAATAAAGTGACCTGAAAAGGGAAAAAAGAAATTATATGGAGGATGAAAATCAAAGCAAAATAACAAAAAATTTTGAGCTCCATAATCCTAAAAGATTAGTGAAAAGGGTACCTGCTTATTCACAGGTACTTGTATTTAACTTATGTTCAAATTTACATCCTGATTTTAATATTAATTATGCTAATACTGATAGAGAAGGAAAAAAAAAAAACTCCTTTAAAATTTAGAAGGCCCGATGTTCAAGGCTAATTAGCAGTCCTGAGGTATGTATGAGCTTACTGAATGACAAAGAAGAAACTCTGGTGAAAGACCATCTGGTTCCCAAGGCCTAGCTCTCCTGGGGTAGGTCTGGAATAAGCCCAGGGAACCAAAGGACCTCCCAGAACCACTCCTCACGAGGGCAGAAAGGACAGCCCAGCAACTGCCTAAGTGGCCAGCACAACTATGGAGAAGGAAAGCAGAAGGTCTAGCTGGTCAGAGCAACTCTACAAAGTCTGTTACCTGAGCAAGTACCGGACACCGTCACCTGCATCCTTCAGGGGTTCCAGGTAGATCTCCAGCCTCTTGTAGGACAGAACCAAGTTGAAAAGATCAAATGCCGGGGACTTGGTAGGGGCAGGTGGAGACTCCAGGGGAACCTCAGGCATCACGCTGGGGCTCACCTCTGGCCCACTCCCCTCACGCTCTGATATCTGCATCCTGCAACCATAATAATTCCTGACATTTGCATTGCACTTCCAATCCCCAACACACTTCTACTTACATTAGTCTATGTGGTGCCTATAATAAACCTGTGAGGTAGGAAGGGTTACAGGTAGAATACCCATTTCACAGAGGAAAAACGTTCAGCAGGGTGAAGTGAATTGCCCAGATATAAAATCCTGCTCTTCTGACTCTCCAACTAATGTTCTTTTCCCCACAGACCTATCAAGAGTATAAACCATAAAGACCAAGCGCACATGGCTGCTGGGAAGAGGCAGCCTGATGTCTAAAGAGAAATGATGACCTGGAATATTTTTCACCCACTCCTGACCTGGTTAATTCCTACTCATCCTTCAGGTAATGGCTGAAACATTGCTCCCTTGATTTGAGAGGTCTCTGCCAATGCCCCCAGTCTGGAATGGGAGACCCTCCCCAATAATCCCAATGGATCATGTACTTGCCCTAACAGCATTTATCACACCAAAGTAAAACTCCCTGCTTTCTTGCGGGTCTGTGCTTAACTTGGAGCTCCACCAGGTCAAAAACTATGTCTTCCATTTACCACTGCTTCTGCACACAGTGGAAGGTTAATTAATGCTCACTGAAAGAGTGAACGAACTGTCCATCCTCTCGGACTCCCGCCCCGCCACATCTTCTAACGCTTCCTTCTCCTTTCTGTTCCCAACAACTTCCTGGACCATTCCTGCCCATTACCCTCCCTTTTCCCTTGAACCCCACGGGGCAGTCACCTCCTTCCATAAGGCCCCGTTCCCATCTCCCCTCTCCGATGCGGAGACCCTCACCCTCTTCCCTAATTTCAAAGTCCTACCCCAAACCCTAAAAAGAAAAGGAGGGGACAGAAAGGGCGGAATCTTGACGCACAGCAACATAAGCCAGTCCCTCGCAATGGACTGCAACCTGACCTGGGATTGGGGATGGGGATGTGACCAAGGGGCCACCGGGAGCCTGAAATACCGCAGGTGGAACTCGGACTAAAGGGCCCAGGGAGGGTGCAAGGTAAAAAGCCCTGGAGGGGGTAAAGCTGTTCAGCGCCGACAGAGGCCTGGACCACCACCACCTCTGCAGCCCACGGAGCCCCTTAGGGCCCTGCGGCCCAGACCAGGGAAGGCCACGCCCAAAGTCGCTGGGCCAGCAGGTGGCGGCCCCCGCTGCGTCCAGGCGCCCAACTCCACACAGTCGGCAGAGACCCGGAGGTGGGGAGGGGGTGACACCTCACCTACCCGGTCGCTGGGTTGGTGGGGGAGGGGCGGGGACGGCCAGGGAGCACTGGAAGGGCCACTAGGCCCGGGAGCGTTTCCTCAGGGCCGCCCCACCCCGAGGATGCGCTTCTTCCAAGGGCCTCTCTGAAGTCGCAAACCGGAGAGCCTCCCCCGCCTCCCCCGCCGCCGCCGCTTCCGGGACGCGAATTGCTCTGCGGCGGCGTGTCCATGACGTCATCACGCCCTCCCCGCCTTCCGCTCCAGCGCAGGTGAGCGCCCTCGTCAGCACTGCGCCTGCGCATCTTTCCTCGCTTAGCCCCGCCCAGATTCAAGTAGATCCCTGAGTGACCGCTAGTCAGTGAGTATTGCGGAGCCTCCGGGGCAAGAGGTTTACGGTCGTGTATCTCGCCGCTTTGGTCCAAATCCAACCCATTCGTCTAAGCAGGAGTCAAATGTCTGTACCTCTTCTCTGATTCTCCGGGCGGGAAGTTATCATTTACCAGACATTTACCCTCCAAACAGCTGGAACCTAGACAGATCCAAATCCCCACACCGTCCACTAAGCTATATTCAGAAATCCTCATACTTCTCAGAGGAATGGGCCTGGCTTTGTGGCTGGGCCAGGCTTGTCTGCTGGACTCTGCCTCTCCTCCTTTAGGGTGAGTCTAGAAGTATAGAGAAACATTTTTTTCTTTAATATCTTAGCTACCTGAAATTTCCCAGGTAGTTAAGTAAATCAGTAATTTACTCCAAAGGTAAATTTTGGTTTCTTTGCAATTACTCGTTGGGTGGGCCTGGACCACTGGCCTCACACTGGCTGTCGCCAGTAGTATTATTGGTTCTCTCTTCTGGCAGCTCTGCAATTGAGAGATATTATTCAAGAACTAGACATTATTCAGAGGGAACACTGGAGGATATAAGAAGGCTCTAAAGACCAGAAAGGGACAACAGTCACGACCAATATCAATGAACAAAGGCTTCCCCCGGTAACTAGACACTGGTCAACTAGTCTCCGCTTTTGGGAGTCTAACTCTGAATTTTGTATAATGAAGTGTTCCCAGTTCCTTCTTTCCCTTCTCCAGCATTCTGAGTCTTCATTCTTTGCTTCAAATCCTAATGTCACTGGTAAGTGAAAGAGACTGAAGGAGAAAATAAAATAGTAAAAGAGGATAACTAGGGGCACCTGGGTGGCTCAGTCGTTAAGCGTCTGCCTTCGGCTCAGGTCATGATCCCAGGGTCCTGGGATCGAGCGCCGCATCTGGCTTCCTGCTCCGTGGGAAGCCTGCTTCTCCCTCTCCCACTCCCCCCTGCTTGTGTTCCCTCTCTCGCTGTGTCTCTCTCTATCAAATAAATAAAAAATATTTTTAAAAAAAAGAGGATAACTAATAACTTGACATTTTCCAGAGGTTAGTCTTTGCATCTCTAAGCAAGGGTGTGTATGGCCCACATGATTGACTCATAAACCTCACTGTGGCCCTTGGAGAAATACTAGTGGGAAATGCTGGGTAGAAGAAGCTGGAAAATAGGAGTGGGAAGAGGAAAGAATTTCCAAGCACACCTACTTCCACCAGATGGCTCCCTCGCCCACTCTTACACAAACCTTGGGAGAGCTGCCTTTCAACTTGGAATTTTTTGTCTTGTGATCTCTCCTGCCACCATTTCCACCACATACCAGATTTGTCACGCTTCGAGCTGTATTCATTATTTCTTTCTGTGTAACAAATTAGTTCAAAACTTACTGGATTAAAACAATAATAAATTTATATTTTCTCACATTGGTTTTTGGCTTTTGGGGGGTTTTGGACAGGAAATGGAGAGCGGCCTCGTGGGCGTCTTTGGCTCCAACTTTCATGAGATTGCAGTCAGCCATTGGCCACGGCTGCCATCATCTGAAGGTTTAACGGGGCTGGAGGATTGGCTTCCACAGTGGCTTCCTCACACAGCAGACAAATCGATGCTGGTATTCTTATGCTGATAGGCTGGAAGGAGGTTTCCCGTTCCTCACTTGGCACTCACCAGAAGGCACCTCGAGTGTCCTCCTGACATGACGTCTGACTTCCTACAGAGCAAGAAATCCGAGAGGGAGGCACAAGATCTTCTATGATATAGCCTCAGAAGTCACACACCATCATTTTCACAATATCCTATCGTTTTTACAGGTCAGAACTATTCAATATCCCAAAGTATAGTGGGAGGCTTATACAAGAGCATGACTACCAGAGGGTAGTCATTGCGGCAGGCCATCTTGGAGGCTAGCTACTAGGTGCTGCTCTGTGGGCTTAGAATACCCTTCCTCCTCCACCTGACCTCCTCCCACACACCTTTCAACATCCAGCTTGAATGTCAAGTCCTTTGTGAAGCTTTCCCCAAATAATTCCTCATTTCCTCCTCTGTGTTTACAAAAAAACTCTGATCCTATTAAGCACCTATTACCTTGCATTTCAACCTATCTCTAGAATCTCCCTTTGTTCCTGAGAGCAGGGAGACTACAACTTAACAATCTTGGCAGAGCCCCAGTTTCTGCCAAGTATAGAGCTTTGGCATAGTAAATATTCAATGAATGTTTATTTTAAAACAAATGAATAAGTTTATAGCAGCAATGTCCACAATGGCCAAACTATGGAAAAAGCCAAGATGTCCATCAACAGATGAATGGATAAAGAAGATGTGGTATATATATACAATGGAATATTATGCAGCCATCAAAAAATGAAATCTTGCCATTTGCAATGACGTGGATGGAACTAGGGGGTATTATGCTGAGCGAAATAAGTCAATCAGAGAAAGACATGTATCATATGATCTCACTGATATGAGGAATTCTTAATCTCAGGAAACAAACTGAGTGTTGCTGGAGTGGTGGGGGGGGTGGGAGGGATGGGGTGGCTGGGTGATAGACATTGGGGAGGGTATGTGCTATGGTGAGTGCTGTGAATCGTGTAAGAGTGATGAATCACAGACCTGTACCTCTGAAACAAATAATACATTATATGTTTAAAAAAAAATGGGGCACCTGGGTGGCTCAGTCGTTAAGCATCTGCCTTCGGCTCAGGTCATGATCCCAGGATCCTGGGATCAAGCCCCGCATCAGGCTCCCTGCTCAGCGGGAAGCCTGCTTCTCCCTCTCCCACTCCCCCTGCTTGTGTTCCCTCTCTCGCTGTGTCTCTCTCTGTCAAATAAATAAATAAAATCTTTAAAAAAAAAAAAGATAGTAGGAAGGGAAAAATGAAGGGGGGGGAGTCAGAGGGGGAGACGAACCATGAGAGACTATGGACTCTGAGAAACAAACTGAGGGTTCTAGAGGGGAGGGGCTGGGGGGATGGGTTAGCCTGGTGATGGGTATTAAAGAGGGCATGTATTAAATACATGCACACGTTCCTTGAGTGCATATCATTTAGAGCTGAAATCCTTATGGTTAGATGAAACACCAGAAATATGAGGAAAATAACCCTGCCGAGGAATAGCTGAGCCCGAACAGCGGTGATTCCAGCTAATAGATCAGGTGTGGTTTCTTTGCTCCCTTATGTTCTTTGGATGTGATTGTAGCATTTGTGGGCTTGGGGGTCAAGAACTGAAGATAACTGGTGCTGGATAGAGGAGCCTTATTTTTTATTATGGCAGCTTGCTATTTTTGTAACATTGTGATTGAGTTGAACACAATCAAAGTACAGTCACTGATTTCCCCTTTTTCCTGGATGAGTGAGCAGGTGATGAAATATGCTGTCCACATCCTTGGACATGTCCAAATGGACAGGGTTTGACTACTACTTCTGTTTGAAATGATGCTGTGTTTTGGTTGTGGCCCGAAGCTTTGAAGTGCTACTTGGCATCTCCTTTCTTCCACGGAGTTGTCATGTCTTCAAACATGACAGATTGGGTAAAATACTAGTTAGGTTGAGTCTGGCTTGCCTCCACTCGTCATCTTTGTCATCCAATAGGCTTTTGTTTGTTTGTTTTTAATGGTTTTTAACTGACGTTCATCAAGAGCAGTGAATACCTAAAACCATGCCCTTAATGGAGGAAATCCTATCGAAGAAGGTGCATTTCTTTACCAGAGCTGTGTCATACCATCCTTTGGGCCCTCTGCTGGAAAAGTAGAATCAAGTCTCAAATAATGCCTTTTTAATTGTATCCTCTAGTATTATAGATGTAGGACAGTACTGTATCATACCTCTGTGAATGTAAAATATCTTGTACCTGCTTTATGATACGTAATAGTGACCGTGCTTTATCAGAGCTGTTTTTAATGACGTTTTTCTAGAATGTTTTCTTTCCAGATGATGATTGAGAAGCTAATAAAAAAATGGTGCCAGGTGCCACAACAGTAACAGAACTTTGCTGTTTTCTGGGGTTTTGTTTTGTTTTTTACCTTTCCCCCCCCTTTTTTATTAATGGAGTGTGCTGGATGTCTCTATAATTTTGTTCAGATGACTGCAGAACCTGGAAAAGCTGTTGCTGCTATTGATGCATAACATACTGCTATTGGTCTTTTTATATAAATAAATAAATATATATATATACACATAGATATACATATATATATAAATAATTTGAATTTTTGGAAACTTTAGCTGTGCTGTCAACTTTGGAAAAAGTATCCCAGTTGTACCGTGTTGGGTTGGCATTGTACAGAAATTAACAGCCATATTGGTCTAGAAATGTTAAACATAATTTTTTCCATTTGTACAGGGGTAACGCACTGTATTAAATATGTAAGGTCTTATCTACATGGGTTTGATTACAGAAACTAATAAAGTATTCTCTAAATAATGAAAAAAAAAGAGGGCATGTATTAAATGGAGCGCTGGGTGTTATATGCAAACAATGAATCATGGAACACTACATCAAAAACGAATGATATAATGTATGGTGATTAACATAACATAATAAAATAAAATTTAAAAAACTACAATGAAATACCACTTTGCAAAAATAAAATAAATGAATAAAACAGAAAATAGCAAGAGTTGGTGAGGATGTGGAGGGACTGGACCCCTTGTGCACCATTGTTGGGAATATAAATAGTGCCTACTCTATGGGAAACAGTCTGTCATGTCCTCAAAAGATTAAATATAAAATTATTGTATGATCCAGCAATGCCACTTCGGGTATATACCCAAAAGAACTGACAGGGTCTCGAAGAGATATTTATGCATCCATGTTTATAGCAGCATTACTCACAATAGCCAAAAGTGTG